TTTTTTTTTTTTTTTTTTTTTTTTCTTTCGCAAACAAATTCATGAATTCTGCCTCTGTCTGGAAAAACATTGCATGCACAAACTAGACAAACATAGTTACTTTTCTGTTTCCTGACACCCTGTAACTCAGTTGTTCTATTTCAACAATTACTGCTATATGCAGGTCAAAAAGGAGTGCCTGCAATTCCAAAGAGCAAGTTACTACAGTATGTGTTCAAAAGATAAAGTTAAAAGAAATACTGGATAGAAATGTAGAAGTAGTGAGCCAAGAAAATGTTAAGTATGGTCTGTGTTGTGTAAGCCTGCATTTATATATTGGATAAGTTGAACTAATTGCACCACTACAAGTGAAGGCAAACTGAGACCATCCATTAGCTTTGAAAACAGATAGACTAGAGAACTTGGACAGAATTAAGTAAGCCTAAATCTTATTAGAGAAGTGGTGTAATACATCTTTAGAAAGCAAAACTAAATTAGTTTTATTACAGGCAGGAAATATTTGAAAGCTGGTAATGCCTAAGATGGATTACTACATAAGAAATCAAATGAGCAGTGGATTCAAGAAGTAAACCTTTACAGAGGGTATTAATGATTACTTTTGCATAAAAAATAATGCAGCATAATGGCAACATTAAGCATGGTGGTTAAACAAACAGATTATTTTGGCTTTTTGGTATTGTTTACCTTTGTTGTACTAAGACGTATGTCTTTGGCCATACAGATTCTCCTGTTCAAGGAGTATAGCATGTTGTTTGGTGAAGAAGCAAGTGACCAAAAGATTTCCTGACCCCTCTCATACAAAAGAACCACCCTGGTGCAGGGGAAAGCTTTAGAAATTCCTGCAGCCTTCCTCTACAGTAGCATATGTTGCTTTGTCCTCCATGATTTGGATATCAACGGTGATTTCAAGGAACAGCATTTGGCAGGAGAACTGCAACAGCACAGAGGCAAGGGACCTTCATTTATCTCTAACGTCCCTAGTTCCCCAAAATCCATATGGATCTACAAGTTTGGGTAAGGGGGACTCCTGCCATTGCTACAAACGAGATAAACTACAATGACTGCAAAATTAAAGAAAGATCAGTCATCTATACCTTTAATATCTTACAAAGGATAAATAGGGGACCTAAGGACCCTAATTCAGCATGTACATAGTGTAAATCTCCCTTCAGGCTTTAACAATTGAATAAAAGTTCAGTGGTTAAAGGTAATTGTGGCAGAGCACTTTTTGGGGTGCTTGCCACATGGCAGGGGCTACAGTAGGCTGGGACAAAGCCAGCAGGGAAGGCAGCCAAGCAAAGCCCCCCCAAATGTTGTTCTAAGGAGGGAGGTGTGTGGCGGAGCTCCTTTGGGGGTGCCTACCACTTGAGGGCTGTCACAGGCTCTGGGGGGAGCCTGCTTTGGAGGAGCAGCAGGGGAAACCTCCCCAAGGTACTGTTTTAAGCGGGAAGGTGTCTGGCAGGGCACTGTTGGTGCCTGCCACTTTAAGATCAGAGCCAAGCAGCCCGCAGGTGCTTGATTTGCAGTGGCCATTTTAGATGTCTGGCCGCCCATATAAACGGAACAGTTCGCTGCTGGCAGGCCAGGCAGCAACATTGCCTGGGTACAAGGCTTCACATATCATCCTGGAGATAAGGGTAGGAGCTGTAGGGGATGGCTAGGAGGCTCCTGGTCCTGGGCATGACCTAAAACTGCACCCTGCCAGGAGTGGGTGGCCTGGTGGGGCTCTTAGTGGTGCAGGAGCCCCCAGGAAATGCCAGGCCAGTTATCACCCAAGTGAAAAGTGGGTAGGGGCACCTTAACCCTAGCCCTCATCTTGCAGTGGGTCACGTAACACCAGAGGTACTTGGGGCCAGGCACGGCTATGGCCACCTGAGCCCTGTGGGGCGCAAGACCCTGCGGAAAGGTGGTTGGGGCCAGACACGGCTACAGCCACCTGAGCCCACTGGGGAGGGAAGCCCCGTGGCCTCAAGTGGAGGGGGCAGTGTGGAGCCCCAGTGAGGGAGGCAGAGATGAGGAGCCCCAGTGAAGGGGGGGAGAAACCAGAGGGCTGAGAGCACAGTATGTTTATATGTATAGAGTTGCCCCCAGCAGGGGCCAGAGCAAGCTTAGGTCAGGTACTTGGCTGGCCACTAGCTTGGTGAGGGGGTTGCAGGAGAGGCCCAAAAGATGGTGCATCTGCCTGCAAGGTAAAAACTAGCTAAGCCTATGGCCTAAGGGGCCCGCTCCAAGAGGGGGCAAGGCAGCACAAGTTGTCAGTGTGTGAAAGAGACCCTGCGAGGGGGGGTGGAATGTGAGAGGAGGGCGGTATGAATGTGAGTGTGTCTGAGGCCCCAGAATGAGGCTAAGCTTGGTCCGGCTATAGGCTGGGAGGACTGTGTCATCTGGATGCCATCTGCAAAGCTTGGGCTGCAGTGTAGGGGGAGGATCAGAGCCACAGACAGTGCCCCCTAGCATCGGGGCAAGAAAATGGGCAGCCTCCTGCCTAATTAAGATCATTAATTAGATAACAACAAGGCATGGCAGGAAGAAGGTGGGTGGTTGGCCCAAAAACAGGTGGGCGGGCCAAAGGGAAATCGGCCCTAAGAAGGCCCCCCCTGTTACAGTCATTAAAATGGGAGCTTGCAAATATTGATATCATAGTGCAGTAGCATTGCATCATCTTGTGGTAATGTGATGCAGCACATGAGGTGGGGGAAGAGGGCAAGGGAGGGAATCTCTGAAGGGATTTGTATTTTCCAAACAGACTTATTGTTGACCAGATAAAGTGTGTGTGTATGTGCATGTGTGAAAAGAGAATGGCTTTTATAACAACCAAACTAGTTATTTTCTCCTCAAGAGTCTTCTAAATGTATGGACTTCCATCTTGCATAAATCTCAGCCTTGCACAAGCTTTTATAAGCTCAAAATATGCAGATATTAAAAATGGGGGGAAATGTAAAAATGTTGATTTCCTGGGTAGCCAATATTACTTTAATAAAAACAATCACATTTTGTAATAACTGCTGTTATTTTTATATATACAGTACAGAGGTGGGCTATAAATAGACACCTCCTTTAACACGGGTCTGATTTTCCCAGGCTTTGACTTGGCTCAAAACATGTCTGGTACCCTCATTTTAAAATGTTCCCCTTCCAAGCTGTATTGCTGTTCCTTTGCCAGAGAAGAATACAGAGTTTGGCCAGCTTGTCTGTGGGGGGGAAAGCACAATAATTTTAAAGATGCACACAGCCAAGTCCCAGGAAAAAAAGCAATAGCATATTTTTATCCCACATATTTCTGAGGGACTAGTTTTGGGACAAATGCAGGATCTATTTCTAACCACAATAGAAATGTGCTTTATTAAGTTCACATTTAAATTATTTTAAGGTTTTTGTTCTGAAATTCTCTTAAATTCTGTGCATTAGAAATGAACTGATTTTACTTCTACGTGTGAGCTTGCTCACTTTGATGTCATTGAACATTTGACAACCCTCTCCTCTGCCCACAAATCTTAAGCAATGGGAACTCTGAAAGAATCTTCCCTTACATTTAGGTCACTGCTTTTAAGGTAAAACCATGCTGCTTTTGAATTCAGCAAGTGTTTGGTCATTGACTTACAGGCCAAGAGGGCCAAGATTTCACCACTGTTTTCTCTGGCTACAGGAATCCTCTGTTAAAGTAAACAAAAGATACTACTGAAATTTGTGGAAGATTTCTATTTATATGGCTCTAATTATAGGAAATTGCCCTTGGGGTAAAGATATTAACAGGAATAAGCCAGTATCGTTTTGGTGTCTGTTTTTTAGTTTTGAAACTTGTATATTAAATGTCACGATTCAATGCTGAGAAGTAACTCCTCTTGTTTTATACGTACCTTTTTTTTTTAAGCGCAGGAGGAGAAAATTATTAATATGCAAATTATATAACAGTATAATTATATTAATATGCCATGTGTTCTGTTACTTGCAGTGAAATACATACATTACCACATGAATGGCAGAAAGAGTTAAATGTAGTTTGCAGATATATAAAAAGTACAGAATTGCAAATGCCGGGCTACAGGCCAGTCTGGGCTCCTGAAATGGGGCCATGTTGGAGAGGGCCCAGATGCATCCATCTGTAACTTCCAAGCAATTCTTGGACAATGTTGCAATTATGGATGTTAAACCATTTCAGGAAACGGATTTTGCATCTTAATGTTAACATTTTTAAAGGAGATGTACAGAGTCAATTTTCTGATCCTTCAACTGCTTACTCTGATTGTACTGTCTGAATGGTGCCATTGATAATCTCTGAGTTGCTGTCAGGATACATATCAAGGTGTTTGATTTTTAAAGCAATTTATTAAGCTTAAGTGCCTTTACTGGTATACGTAAAACATGGAACGACAAACTAAAGCTGTATGCTCTGTATCTTTCACAAGGAGTCTTGAGCTCTATAGAGAGAGACAGGAAAATCTTTTGACCCCTTTCTCATAAGTGAGCTTATGCTAGATTCTGAGTAGTCCCAGTGAAGTCAATGCTATTACTCATCCCCATGAGTAAAGGGGAAAGAAATTTGGGTTTACGTCAATAAAAATGCTGCTTGTAGACAGGGTCTAGGAAGGCTTTGACTATCTGAGTTATTGCACTTTGTGTTTAGAGGCTCTCATTTTGCAGAGACTTAAGCGTGCATATACTGTTATAAATGTGGGTAGGTCTGAGCAGGCCCCACACCTACAGACTTACACTTTTGATAGGATCATCAAGAAATGAAGACATGCATAAAATATCAGGTGTGGAATTGCTAAGTACGTAATTAATATTTACCACTTCAAGTACTCTTCATTAGTCTTTAAAAAGAAGTGACGTATCATTCCCTCCACTCCTACAGATGAGGAAACTGAGGTACAAGAGGTGAAGCAACCTACTCAATATTGCTCACCAGGCCAGTGATGGAGCTGGAAATACAACTGAACCTAGGGCCTCTAAGTGCCAGCCTGGCGCTCTGCTGTTTGGCCCACACTATATCTAAAGTGTGCACTCTTTTTCTTTTTAGGGCTGCTACAAATTGAGCTAAAAACGAGGAAAACTTGCTTTTGGCGTCACCAGAAAGGAAAGCCAGATACGTACCTTTCCACAATTGAAGCAATTTATTATTTTCTTGTGGACTATCATCAGGAGGTTTTGAAAAAGAAATACAAAGGACAATATGACAATCTGCTTTTTTTCTTTTCATTTATGTATACCCTGATAAAAAATGCCAAGTCGTCTACAGGGAAAGAGTAAGCCATGACATTGGGCCAGCTGTAAATAATACCATGTTTGATTTTTCTTCATGAATAAAATGGTGTGAGATTTTTTTTTTCCCCCGCCCCCCAATTGAGGTTTGGAACTGAATAACAAAACATGGTGCATGGTATTTAGGAGCTGGCTGGAGTGCTGCATACAGTGCAGGTTTAGGACCTGACCGCTTCTAGGCTGATGGAGTGGTAATTTCATTGATGTGACCAGTTCTATTAGGATTATATACATCACTAAATGTTGCTGGATTAGAGACCCTGGGCCTGCTTTTTAGTCTTTGCCTTGGGCAACATGCAGTAGAAGTGAGGCAAAGACCAGAGGACTGAGCCTTCCCTGTGTTAATAGTATCCTCTTGGAACCGTAAAGAGGAGCTTGCATGCCAGCAGGGAATCTCTTTGAATCTCAGAGTTCATCTGTTTTCATTGTGCAGTAATGTACTCTAACCAGCAAGGCTGACTTCATACTGGTGATGTCACTACTTATTGAAATGATTGGGACATTTTAATCAAAAACAAATAGAGCCAAGTTAATTGACTGAATGGAAAAGCAATTGAAATGGTAATCTTTTTAAGTTTAGAGTTGTGGTATGGTTTAAGTAATAGATGAAAATCATGTCTTGCCTGAACATTGTTATTATATAATATGTCCTCTAGGACCGTTAAGAGCTTACACTAAAGATTTTTGCCACCCATTTCAAATAGAAATAAAATTACCTACATCTTTTTTAAAAATAAAACTAACTTCATTCTTTATGACAGACCCTCAGCTATTAATTTGACAGGTTTTATATGCAGTATCCAGTGGCGTCTGAGTGCAAAAGTACAATAATGAAGATCTTAATTCACTGCCAGGTGCTAGCAATTTTACTAAAATATTTCGTGCTTACTGTAAGAAGAGATAGCAAGGCAACAATAGCTTTCCAACAGGCATTCTTGAAGCTGAACTGACTTGATAGTAACTTTTTACTCAATCAGTTTGCTATAGTAGCTCCTATACGTGGTGATTTGTCCAATTTTAAATAAGGCCTTGTCTGCACTAATTAGGTCAGTCTAGTTAGGCGAGTAAAACACACCAAATAATTGGGCTTTTATTAGTATAAGTTATTCCTTTTTCTGAACCACTGTAAGGTATCATGGCATAAATTTGATTTTGCTTACATAACTATATCTGCACTAATGAGTATATAAATCATAACCTTGGCAGACACAGCCATGCTAGAAGCCATAGCATAGACCAGACCTTGGTAAGATGGCTAAACAATTCTGAAAGCACTTTCAGTATATCTTTCTATGTGGATAAATTGGAAGAAGGTTGACAGAATTTTGTCAGAGACACTAGTTGAAAAATTGTAATAGCTGATCTCTTCCAGAAACCTGCAAGGGTATTTTTAGTTGCATCATTTTTTCCTCAGCCAGTCTGGCTAAATCAGTGGTGCGTGTGGTTTTGGCCCTGTGCTGTTCTCACTCAACCCCCATGTGCTGGGATTGGGCTCTGCACCCCTGTCTGCTTGATCTAGCACACAGGGCCATAGCTCACAGGCTCCCTACAGATTTGTGAGGGCCACGTGGGCTGAATGATATGGCACCAGGAGCCAGACCTGGAGGTTGAGCACCCCTGGGTTAAATTACTATCTGTATCAGTGCTGCCTTTTCCCAAAAGGAAGTCTCAGTTAGTTGTCCAGATATGCAACAGAAGCGGCACTGTAGAAAGATCACTTAAGAACTTACTTTCAGTTTGTACAGAACGTCTTTCAGGTTCGAACAATTGGTTTGTGGGGGGGTTTTTGATGTGTCAAGGTACTGAATTTGAAATATGAACTTTCCCCACAAGTGTCTTGCTAGCCTCTAGCTTTAGAGGACCCGCTTTCCTTATCTGTCCAAAAAAGAAGCATCTTATTGTGCATACAAACAGATCTATTTTAGCACACACTGGGCGGTTATAACTGCCCATTTGCCGCACGCAAATGACTGTGTGCGCCTATAAATACAAACTGAAGGTCAGGCTGATCATTTGGGCCTATAAATAGACTAGTCAAATTAGTGTGCATGAATCGCAGCAGCACTACCAATAACAGGTATGTGTTTAAGGTCCAAATAATTAACAGCACTTCACATATACAAATACGACAGTACAGCTGTTTAAAGTGTAATGCATGTTCATGTGTTTTGCACCAAGAAAAATCAGCAAACTTCATTGGAATCTTAATCACTTGTTTTTATGGCTATTAAGAGAAGTTCTTCTGAGTGTTTATGATGATTAATGCTGTTTGCTATAGTATGAATTTTGATAGTCTTTCTTGACATTTTCATCTGTATGCATATTTCTTAAAAATTACTTTGGCTTTTCTCTCTCTCTAGAAGATAACCAAAATAGAATACTAGCGGAAGGAAAAAGCTTTCACCCATTTTAAACAGAAAAAAATGAGTGAACTCAGTGACCTAATGTTTTACAAGAATTAGAGGGAAAAATCCTTTCCCCCCCCCCCCCTTCTAAGACACATTTCCCTGAAAACATGTTTTTTTATTTAAAAAGTAGAGGTCAGATAAAGGCTTATGTAAGCTAATCTTTGTTACTTTTGGAAAATGCTTTCATAAGTTTAAATGTTTTCCAAATTTAAGTTTTGTGTACCTCACTTTATTTTAATAGAAGTTAAGAACCTATTCCAAAACTAAATTAATTTTAGTTTCAGCTGAAATCAATGTACAGAAAAGATTTAAAACTTGGGACATTGTATCTCCAAAAAATTGGGCTCAGATTCTTAACCCAATGGAAATCACTCCTATCAGGCTTACCTGCAGTCCACAATACTTAAGGGTATGCTGACATTCCTGTGATAATATAATGTGGAGGCACAAAGGAGATTAATGTCACCACTGCTGCAAGTCTGGCTGAAACTTGGGCAAATGTTTGGGGGGGGAGAAAGAAATGAACCCCATTTTTCAATTTTGATGCTGCCAAAGTACCAAAACCAGCTGGGATTTGTTTTTCAGCTTTTAAACCAAACAACACTTTCCCAAATGAAAACTCTACTGCCAAATGAAAGCAAGCAAGCAGTTAATCCTTTTCAAGTACGACATCAATTTCCCTACTTATCAAAGTGAAGGTCAGGGCAAAGAAAAAGTCAATGCTAGCTCTTTTTAATAAAACTGGAATGAGGTTTTCACTGTCTTCTGTTTTCCAAAAAGAGCATCCTGTTCCATTGTATGAGAGGATGGACAGGGGCAAGACGCAAGCTTCTTTGTTGATTAGATGCAACCTAAAAGGCCACAGAGGGGTGAAGGAGGAGCAGAAAGAAGTGTTCCCCCAAACATTTTTTCCCCCAAAACTATGCCTTTTGAGCTCCTGCAGAAGAGCTGAGTCTATGAACCTTCACTACCCCAAGACAAAAAATAACCTCATGCGAGAGACCAGTACTACTTACAAGTCATGCGATCTGTACTATTCTGGTCTATTCATCTCGCCATAGTGGCAATCTATTTTTTTCCTTTTCTGATAATTTACTGGGTATTTACACTCCTGGCCAAACAAGAAAAAAAAGTACAAACTTCTTGCAGTTGCACAAATTTGATCGGTGGAGAAGTGAAGTCCCCTGTTGAGAGTGGGTACAAGATTATAACAGGTTACCCATTTTCCTGGAGGGTAGCACAAGACTTGCCAAGCTAAGGATGCAGGAAAAAATGCAGGGCCTCAGACTGAAGATGACCTACTAAGTTGGAGCAAGAGAGAGAGGAAAAATTGAAATCTCTAGGAAAACCCTGAAACACATTTCTATGCGTAGTTGATCCAAGCCTTTTTTGTTACCCCCCGTTCCATTTAGATGCATACATATTAAACTTTCTGAATCCTTAATAATGCTATATAAGTAATGCAATGATATTAGAGTATCAAGTTCAGTAGAACATACTGCTCTATCAACACTTCTTTTCCCACTTCAAACGTAAGCTTCTGTCTTTAGACTAGTTTTGTGTGAACACATTAAAAAATGTAGCCATCATGAAAGTGCTAAAAATCATTGCTTAGTTTAAGGTAAGGTTATACCAAGACGGCTCAAAACTTAGAAAGCATAGAAGTTGTTATGGGAAAAACATCCCTTGCCAACTTTACATCACTTATAATAATGTTACCCCCAAGAGGCATAGACTTCCATGTCTCAACACATTCCAAAACACATCCAACTTGTTTTGTCACGCAAAACCTTACTGGTGACCTCAGCAATGTTACAACAGAATAACTTTCCAACTGAATAAAGTATGTGATGGTAATATGTGCTGATCTACTGAAATAAGAGTAGGAGTGAGTCTTAGCGTGAGCAGGGCTAAATCAATATGTCAACATACCTCCTAAACTATTATAATTTGTCTTCAGAAATAGTGTGGCAATAACTCCTACACAGGGGTCGTATTTTGACATCAGTAACAACTTTGACTTTGCTTGGTAATACTTCATCTTTTGAATGTCAACATTTCTAACTTTTTAAAACTTAAGTAACTGTTTATAGGAAACATGTTGCAACTTTTAACAAGTATTTTACTTGTTGCAAAGCCTGACATTTAATTTCAGACCTCAGACTTAGTGTATTTTGAAGAGGGACCCGAGGAAAAAGTCAAATCTTGCAAAAATTAAAATTACTTAGAACTTTAAAAAAAACAGTCATAACTCTCCCACTGTTTGCCCAGCCTTCTCACACCTGGACAAGCTGCAGCAGGGTGTGGGAGTGGACATGTGCACATGGATCAGGGTGGGGCCAGCAGTAGGAGCTATGGGGAATTTTAGGGTGGCTGCAGCCCCCCCATAGCTTCCACTCCATTGCACTCTCTGCGGAGCCAGGGCTGCACTCTAGGCTGCAGCTGGGACTAGCTCCCCCAGAGCACAGCCCTGGCTCCACCCACCCCATGGAGTGGAGCCCAGGAGCTGGGGCTAGCCTCCCAGAGCACAACCCAGTCCAGCCCACCCCATGCAGATCCGGGGGCACACCTGCTCCCGTGTGAGAGCTGCCAGAGGAGCCACTGGAAGAGCAGCTCCCAGACCGGTGGTGTGTGGCAGCGCATGGTGGCTGGAGCCTCC